TCAGAACTTGGTAAGAAGACGTCTTAATGGTTTCATGATAATTATGATGTATTTCATAGATCATTGGACGAAGCGAATGCAATAACTGCATCTAGCACAGTTATTGTCATCAGCCTGAGTTTCAAGTTGCCGTTTCTCCTCTCCACAGATCCCTGGCTAGTTGGCAGAAAGCCTTAACATAATAAGACCTTAAATCTCAAACACGCCACTGGGAAAGCTGTTTTGCCAATTGCACGCATTGGTCAAAGGCCTGCTCAATACACTCAATGGGCAGTTGCCCAGATTGGATATGACATAGAAGAGTTAACACGAAATATATAGATTTACATGTATCACACTTGTCATTAATATGACTTTCCAGACAGAAAATATATCTATAGATGCTCGATATTGATTTCTTACGCATTTCACTTTTGAACCTTTTACCGTTGTTTGAGGTATCAGCTCGTTAACGTACGGATAATGTTGTGTATTACTGGACTCGATATTCGATACACGAGCAGTGTTACATATTCACATAACAATTACTTATTCCTCTGATTCATCTTTATAGTAAAGAATTTTTGAACGATTACAAAATACACCAGTTACCAACATGTAAGCATACAATGCGTCATTCCCATGAAATGGCTGTTCGCAGAGTATATGATTATATATACTATTACATATACAACCTTGTGTACTATTATAGATGCAACATTGATCAATAGCGACGAGTCGAACCCAAAGTGTTACTGTATACTTTATGCATCTTTACGTCTGTATGATGTAACGATGCATCGAACTATCGATGGATTGCAATTGTTGAGTCTCCGATAGCAAGTAATCGATGGTAGAAACGAAAAACTATCGATGCAGCGATAGTATGTGTGACTATCGATAATTTAGTAATTGACTTCCGATGATAAATTAGACTACATACGCAGCGCAAAATACAGGATGTTTGGGTGCAGACTTCACTTCAGTGAGTTTATGTTTTAACTGTTTACTTGATCCGGGTTTCAAGTTTCTTGTGATTTACTAAAAGAGACTGGAACTACTTCAACTTGTTTTTATTTCATTTAACTATACATTTATTTTGGAAATGGCTTCAGCTGAGACAATTCAAGGAGAACAAAAACTATTGCAATAGTAGTGTAATAGTATTGCAATAGTTGGTCGCAATAGACTATCGCTATCGCAATAGTATGTTGCAATAGACTATCGCAATCGCAATAGTTGTTTCCTCCTCAATAGTCACCCCTAAAAGTAACACAACATGAAATATGTGAACATGAAAAGAGTTAGCATTAAAGTGGAAAGTTAAACATCATCAATAAAGTAACTATTTACCGGAAAAGTATCCAACAAGCAACAGAGTGACAGCCCAGGTTGTCGCCATCTTGAATGTCAAACGTGGAGTGCTGTTTACTATCGCCTTCTACCCTGATGTTTGACAGAGACCAATGCCACAGAGGAAGTTACCGTGTTGAGGGTACATGTATTTGTTTACTATCGCCCAGGGTGAATACGAACAATGCAAGTGTATGTCTTGTCATAAATCGCTATTAATAGTTTCATATAAATATCGAACAGAGAGCAATACATGCTTGCGCAATAATTTCGCAATAGTTGTACAACAATGCAACACTTGCATTCATATATGTTTTCTTGTAGTGAAATATCAATAGCGGCAATTCCCAATTCTCACCCTTAAAAAAGACTAGCACACCCAGTTATGAGCATAGATCAATGAAGCAGTTTACAAGATATTCTTTGTTGAGTTTCTATGTGTCACCAATGGACCCATAAATATTGTTCTGCAATTTAAAACTTAATCTCTGCAAAGTAATACTATAATCTAAATGGAGACCACTGTGATGCTGAATTTAAAACGATAGCTGAGTCAATGAAGACTTGCCAAATAATTGATTTCTAAACTCAGGTTGGATGACCGTATATATAAATACATTCTCAAGGGTCTGAGAGACAAAGCAGTTTTAAGGCAAGTCCTTGCATGGTACATTATTTGTATACTAATGGGAAGTTGAAAAGGTTCCACGGAATTCTTTTTTCTTTGCTTTGTAACGCCGCAAACAGTAGATGTTTGTGGTAAATGAGAGGAGACGTTTCATTCTGCAAGTATTTTCTGGCAGCGAATATTACAAACCTACCCAAGTACATGAATCTGCTCTACTGCATCTTGCAGCATGTATGTATATTGTCACTGATATCACCCAATTTTAACCCACCACTCACATCCATGGGCGAGCCCCACCTCAGCCCCATCACACACCGAAACAAAACACGACACCATCAGTACACAAACGATAACAGAAGGGAGACGGCGGGAGGATATGTAGGGCGCTGGCAGAGAAATTTTAGCTGTGTAACAGCAGCAATTAGGGGGTGGAAGGATAGCAGATATCAGAAATTGGGTGATATCAGTGATATGTGTGCAACACGCAAGATGCAGAATTATTTTGCAAGTCGTCTCTGCCTTCGTTTAGATTCAGCATCATTCTGGTTTCCATGACAATGCTGCCAGTCACAAGTGTGCCACTGTTAAACTGACCAATGTTAAAGTCCATTTCCTGCCTCCAAACACAACTGCACACATTCAGCCTATGGATGCTGGTATTATCAGAACTTACAAGGCCCACTACAAGCGATCGTCTTGCTGATGACGATCTGCCCCAAGCTCGCAATCTTCGACAAGCGCTCAGATTCATCAAAACAGCCTGGTCCGAAGTGACTGCCACAACAATTCAGAACTTTCGACCTCATCCCCACTCCAGCTGAAGCTTTTTGTCGACGAAGATGACATGGTTTTATCAGAACTACGCGAGTTACTCCAGCGCTTCCCGACGGAAAACGGCGATTTGTAGAATGTCGAGAATTACCTCGGCGCTGACGATGATAAAGACAAGACAAAACAAGATTTTATTAGGTCAAAAACCAAAATAATACATGTCATTGACAATATTGATCTTCAGCACATGGCAGGATTATACACACAGTATAAATTGTTTTAAATATGCAATGATTATGACACTGTCCAAGAGCAAGGGTATATATTGTGTACACTTACAGGTATTCATGTTTATTCCTTTCATTCATTACATAATAAATACATTTGGCAACGTTAAACAGAACTGCATCGTTTTCACTTTTCAGCATTCTGACAAATTTAAACATATTTGCATTTTCAAGGAGGGTAAAGGATAAATATCGCTCACGTATTTACTGATACTTAGGACAAATAAGTAATACATGATACTCGTCTTCAATGCCATGTGGACAAAAGGGACATTTCCTATCAATAAATGGTATTTTTGGTACACTCCATCTACCTTTCTCAATCATAAACATGTGAGAAATGGGGCGAAAACGTGTCAAGGCAATTCTGTACTTTTTAACGACAATATTAGATAAATATTTCTCGAAGCAAAGAGTTTCCCTAATATAAAGATACAATCTGGTTTCACTTAGAGTTGACAACTGGTGTTTCCACATTTGGGAATATATATCTCTAACCCTCTCTGTAAATCGTCTCACAAAAACATCGCTATTGGGAACAAACTGAGCAGCCCACACATAACCAAAACTGAACCTAAAAAGGGTATCTCTCAGCAAACTTGCCCAATTTTCAGTATTAGGATTTACATTCAAACTATCCAATAATGAATTAGATATCAAAAAAATATATCTATTTGGGTTACTTCTCAAAATCTTAATCCAATATTTGATAATACGTACAAGCCTTAAAACTTTCAGAGGATATGTACCCAGTTCTCCACATAAAAATGATGACGGAGTTGACATTTTCACATATAGTATATGTTTCATAAATTTTAAATATACCCTTTCAATGACATCGGCTTCCATAAAACCCCAAACCTCACAGCCATAAGAAAGAATGGGGCAAACAACTGATTGAAATAACTGATATTGTACATCAGGAGTAACCAACTGCTTTTTGACCTTGTTCCGACAAAGATTTCTGAGCCAGGGAAAAACTTCCACCTATTGAAAATAATAAACCAAGATATTTAAAATTACTGACAACCTCAAGATTTGAACCATTATATGTCCAAGTTTCCGTCTTTGCCTGCTTACCTCCTTTGCGAAAAATAACAATCTTAGTTTTTTCAGTATAAATAGTATTAATAGCTAAAGAAACCAGCCCCTCACTGTCATCTGACGAGATTGTTACCATGATCAACACTAATGACAACAGCGATCAGGAAGAAGACGAACCAGAGGCTACCCCTGCCCCTTCAGCAAGCCAGATGCAATTTACATGGACTCAATGATAAACTATTTTGAGTGTGTTGGCGATGACAAAAACTTGAAACCGTCCTTAACATGCGTGCCTCTTTCAAGGGACTTTCAAACTCTTCTTGGCGATTATTTGACATCAATGTGAATTTATTTTGTGCAATCATGTTGATGTTCTTTTATTCAAATATCCAAGTTGTTATGTGTAATAAAGTCAGTTGATCCATGTACATGTGTATGTGCCTTTGTCGCTATCAGTCAAGTGAAAGGAAAGTAACTCTACTGCAGTGTGATGTACATGTATGTTTAGTGGACTTGTTTCAGCAAACCTAACGTTTCACTATCCTAACAATTTTTATGAGAAACATCAAAACAAAACAACCTTAGCGCTAAGGCTACCTTAAGTCTACGTTAATGAATGGGAGTTACGGTAACCTTAGCGCTAAGATCGCTTTGTACAACGGCACCCTGTACGGAATAATGCGGCCTGACTGTAGATAATATTGTTACTTTGTAGATAATGAGTTTTTAAATAGCAAAACTATATTTGTGGGTCCATGAGTGGCATTGTCAAAGAGAACACATAGAAACTTTACCTAAAATATCTGGTAAAACTGAATCGTCCATATCGGATAATACCTGGGTGTGCTAGTCTATTTTAAGGGTGAGAATTGGGACGTGACAGTATTTCACTATAAGAAAACACCTCATGAATACTGTTGCATTGTAGGACAACTATTGCGAAATTATTACCGAAGCATGTATAGCTCGATTTTATAAGAAACTATTCATAGCGATTCACGTCAAAACATACACTTACATTGTTCGCATTCACGGCTTGCAACCAGTGTGACTCACGAGACATGTTTTCAGGGTACAAGGCGATAGTCAACAACACTCCACATCTGACATTCAAGATGGCGGCAACCTGGGCTGTCACTCTCTTGCTTGTGGGATACTTTTCCGGTAAATCGTTACTTTATTTACTATGATGTTTAATTTTCGTTTGTTTTTAAAGCTAACTCTTTTAAGTGTACATATATAATATTGTGTTACTTTATGCAGAAATAGAGATATATACTGTGCGATTGTCTCGCCAGTTGATCAGTGTTGTATATATAAATAGTACCATTGTATGTTTTGGGCATCCCGAATAAGAGGAATATGTATTTATCATGCAATTATAGTCAATGAGTAATAGTGCTTGTGTATCGAATATCGGGTCCAATAACACAGGGCCTTATCCGTATGGTACCGAAGTGACACCTCCAACAACTGTAAAAGGTACAAAATTGACAAAAATAAGAAATCAAATCATGTGTAAAATATCGAGCATATATATCTATTATTTTCTATCTGGAAATTCAGACTAATGACAAGTTTGATATCTGTAAAGTTTGATAATGTTACAACCAATGTGTGCAAGTGCCCATTGAGTGCATTGCATGGAATGGACAGTGGCTTATTTGAGTTTTAAAACATTATTCACATTAGTAAAGTCTTTAAAACAACTAGCCAGGGATCCGAGGAGAGGAGTAATGGCGATATGAGACTGGTGGCATGGATGCGTGACATTCGTGAAGTGATATTCGCTTCGTCCAATGGTCCATTCAACATGCATCGTAACATGAAACCATTAAGATGACTTCTCACCAAGCTCTGACTGGGAACAAGCCACGCTGTGGACTTACGTCTAATTTACTAAATGATTAACTCAACCACATATATCAAGCCAAAAACGAAGAAGACCTGAAATTAAATAACATATGTGACGTCATTCCATTGTCTGCTCGCTCCATTACTTTTCAGGAATGGAGCGATGTGTACCAGTTTCAAATTAAAGACTTCATTTTGTCATTTTGACATTTAATTTTGATAACAGAAATATTCCCAATACATTGAATGTAATTTAAGTAGGGTGATATCCTCGTAACTCTCTATTCCTTAAAAATAATGTGCCTCGGCCCCTCCGAGACCTCGGCTCCATTATTTTTAAGGAATGGAGAGTTACTCGGACATTACCCTCTACAGATTTCTTAACAACACCTCTGGTGATGATGTTATGCCAGATGCTGTTGACGCTATTGTCGATGTACCTGGTTATGTTCACACCACCAATGTCGTGCATGATGTTGACGCTCCTGTTGAGGGCATGCTAGATGCTATTTACACAATTGTTGTTGTTTACACAACTGATGTTAGGCAGATGAAGTATAACATGTACTAAACACTTTTGGGCATGATCATTCCTCATAGTCAGCATGTTCTTGTTGAATGAATATTATTTTTAGCAAATCGAAGAATTTTCATCACTAAGCATATTTCGGTCACGATATATACTAATCCAGGTCCAGAGTAAGCGAGTTATAATTTAACGTCTTCCCGACATGTTTTTTTTTCAGTTCAGGAAATAGCACAGTGCAGGTGTTTAGTCCCTAGTATGTGGATAAAATTTACTCCCGTCTGTTATACGTCCCGTTTGCATTATACTATATCTTTCCCAGATGTACTACAATAAAGCTACGTATTCATGAAACAGTCAGTCAAAAGCCTAGATCAACTGCTTTACTAGTAAGCAGTGTGATATCTATAAATATTGTTTTTAATATTCTTAAACATACTTTTAAAAAATATCTTATGTCATAAGTACAGTAGAAAATAATAATGAAAAACTATCCGAATGAATATTTTGATTATTGACAATTTGTCATCCTAGAAAAGGTTTAGTTTAATGTCACAATGACAGTTATTCCCCTCAGAGTCATTAGGGTTTTTTCAAGGTTAGATTTGTATTCTTTATAAGTGATATTGATATTGCAGTTGCATGTTGATTTAACTCAAAATGAAGAATTAGGCTATTGCTAACACAAACAGTATGGTTAGTGTATGCTGCGAACGAACACACTGTATATTTTAGTATGATAAAATTCTGCAAATTATTCTGAAGACAGTCTTAATCCCAAATTGGCCAAAAAAAACCACGTGTCATGTTGAGATCTTTGTGCCAACATGAGAGCACAAATGGTAGTGATTATATGCATTATTTAAGTATAAAATGGCTATTATTCACTCGTTAGACACAGTCATGGCTGGACTAAGACAAGTGGAGTATGTGACATCATCGAGAGGTACACAACAAGCACTATTTGATGGATACCTCTACAATAAGAACTCAACAAGAACACAACACACAAGCTGTGTCATCAAGACCTGCAAGGGAAAATGCACCACTGTTGGAGACTATGTGAGAAATGTGTCAGAGCTCAGTCATCCTCGAGAAGATGTTGATCGTCTGAGGTTCGTCAGCACTATGAAGAAGAAAGCTTGTGGAGGATCAACCCCGATGAAGCAGGTGTATGGCTGACAGATGGCAACTGGAGACCACCTGGAGTCACCACTTTGTACTTAATTGCTATGGTCTAAAAATGGGCAGAGAGAGTTCATTTATTGAGTTTATTCTATGTCCGACAAAACATGGACATTTCATTTAAAAATATAACATATGAATTAAAGAAGTTATTTAAATTAGAGAACATATTATAAGCAACAGAGTATCCACTCAGATGTTGATCGTCTGTGACCTGTTACCAACAGGAGGCTGCAACAGATGAAAATGGCTATTAAGTCCGAGTTTCCTGGAGCTGAGGACAAGGGGCTGCTTCTTCCACTACAGTCAAGCCTGGATGAAGGAAGACTCAAGAGCTTGGTTTTGCTGTATAAGGAAATCGTCTGTGATGGAGAACCTGGATGGATGTGATGTGGATATGGATGTGATGGAGAACGCCTGGATGGATGTGATGGAGAACGCCTGGATGGATGTGATGGAGAACGCCTGGATGGATGTGATGGAGAACGCCTGGATGGATGTGATGGAGAACGCCTGGATGGATGTGATGGAGAACGCCTGGATGGATGTGATGGAGAACGCCTGGATGGATGTGATAGAGAACGCCTGGATGGATGTGATGGAGAACATGGATGTGATGGAGAACGCCTGGATGGATGTGATGTGGATGGAGGATGTGATGGAGCCTGGATGGAATGATGGATGGGAGAACGCCTGCATGGATGTGATGGAGAACGCCTGGATGGATGTGATGGAGAACGCCTGCATGGATGTGATGGAGAACGCCTGGATGGATGTGATGGAGAACGCCTGGATGGATGTGATGGAGAACGCCTGGATGGATGTGATGGAGAACGCCTGGATGGATGTGATGGAGAACGCCTGCATGGATGTGATGTTGCCAGGTCTGGTGACTTTAATGACAACATGGTGACCAACTGGGTGGATGATGATGCCAGATTCACACTTCACATCTTGAATCACCATGAGACAGTCGGCCCGAGGACCACAAACAGTCTGGAGGGCTTTCACAACGATTGCACAGATCACTAGGATATCGCCATCCGAACATATACTGGCTGATCGAAGTCTTCCGAAGGATTGAAAAAGCAGACAAAGGCAACATCTCACAGAGACTTGAATTAAATTTCATAGAAATAGCGTTTTACAATAGTGCAATACATTCTGTCATCATACTCCTGCAATCATTATATCCTATTCGAATCCGCAACAGTATTGCAGGAATGTTTTTACCTTAGAGTAATACATCTTTAAGCAATACTTTGCAATAGTTGTACTACAATACAACAGTCCTGGCATTCATATTATCACCCTTTAAATGGACTATTATACGCAGTTATGATCATTTATCGATGATACAGTTTTACCAGATATTTTTTTTGTTTTGAGTTTTTATGTGTTCTCTTTGACAATGCCACTCATGAATAGGACTCTGTGCTATTTATCGTACCTGTTGTACTCGATTAAAATTTGGACCCAGAAATATAGTTTAACTGTCACTGATATCACCCAATTCCTAACCCACCCATCCCTCAATCGCAAGATCTACCATCCCATCATCCATCCCCTAAGTGCTGCTGTTACATAGATAAGATGTCTCTGCTCATCGCCCTTCATGTTCTCCCATCGTCTTCCTTCTGTTATAGTCTATGCACTGATGATGTCGTGTTCTGTTGCAGTGTGTAATGGCACCGTGTGTTCCGTAAGCCGTCGATCATCCATCAATTACAGATCCATCTACTACAAGGTGTACATGTACTGTTCCAATATTTGTTGCGGGACAATCTACACACGTTACTGCTGTATCTTATCGTAAGTCAAGGCCCAATCTTATCTATTGTCTATAAGCAAAGCCTAACTAAGAACTCTTTCATCATGTAGAAAAGAAATAAGTGCATTTAATTAAACACCAGTATATCTTCATGTCACGATAAGTTTCAGCTGCATTGATGTGTATCTGGGATCATTATGGATTTCATATGTTTTCTTTATTTTTGTATATTTTCAAACAGTATTATTTAAATATCCAATATTAGGAGGACTGTCTCCATAGTTTAGAAAGTCTTAAAAGCGGAAGGTTGGTGGTTCGAGACCCCGCGCCATACCAACAGACGTTAACTTGTTGTTACCTTGCCTGGCCTAACATTGAGTTGATAACAGAACTGATCTTCTCGTGTTGTGTCATCATTTTGTAAAAAGAATTTACACTCACACCTACTTGGATGTTTCAAAATTAAGTGAGGTAAAACTTAAGATTTCTGTCCATTACTGTCCATATTCTGCGAACATTTATTGAGGTGAGTGAGTGAGTTAAAATTTAAAGTCACTTCGGCAATATGTCAGCCATATCGTGACCAAAACAAGTTATAGATTAACAATAATTAAAGATAGATTATAAAATTCTGTCAACGAAGGACAGTAAAACAACTAGAATATCACAGATATATATATGTAAATCTAGTAATTAAATCTAAAACATGTTTACTATAGAGGACAACACAATATAAAAATAGGCTATAGATCGCCAACAACTGAGGGTAGATCACCATACTAGGGACCATGGGGACTTACAGTGCCTTTGCTACCTGCATGGACCCTAGTTGGGTTTACACCATCCCTTCAGCTGTTGGCGATTGTAAGAAATGTTAGCCAAACTTTAAATAACAAGAATACTACGTTTAAAAGATCCTGGTAAGCATAAATTGACTTTGAAAGTTTTGGGACTTACGTACCCTCTCAGGAGGACAATAATTTTACAATACTTTAACCCCCTCTGAGGGTACAGCCACTAACAATCCAAGTTACTAATCTAAACTACCAATAATTAAAATACATCTATCTACAGAACATATTTATCAAAATTCATTAATTAAATCAATTTCTTTTCAAAAGCCAAGAATTAAATGAAACTGAACAATATTTAAAAGATCCTTAACAGTTTTAACATTGAAATATGTATCCCTTAAGATGGAGACAGTCACGCTATTCCTGGTACCAGTGCCCTCAACCACCAGACTCCCGTCCTCCTCCTCCGCTACCCACGGCAAACGGGTTGGTGGACCAAATATACCTCCGGGTCCACAACTGGGGGTTGAAGAGCGCTTAACGTTACTCAGCACCCACCACGAGGAGGTGTTCTTCACGGGTGCCGATTCAAAACTAGCTTGTGACTTAAAAATATATACTATTTATGACAGTACAGCATAAAAATGGGCTATATATCGCCAGCAACTGAAAGTAGATCACCAGCGAACTTTTAATAATCCAGAGAAATTTCATTGATTATGTAAAAAGACACTGTTATTTTTTTTTACAGAAAGAAAGCCCTCTTGGGCTTGAAGATCTCTGGAGGCGTTCTTGCTGTCATCTTGTTGTTAGTCCTCCTCTGTTACATCCTTTACTGTTCTATAAAGAACAGAAGACCAAGACGACGACGGGTCACTCATCCTCCCACTCGGCCCCGTGTGACGTCCTCTGGGATCTCACGTGAGTCAAAATACCACCATGTTATATATAACAAGGTGTGTGTGTGTGTGTGTGTGTGTGTGTGTGTGTGTGTGTGTGTGTGTGTGTGTGTGTGTATGTGTGTGTGTGTGTGTGTGTGTAGGTGTGTGTGTGTGTGTGTGTGTGTGTGTAGGGTGGGAGCAGAAACAACTTTTGCCTGAGTATACGCATGGCTAACCAGAGGGAAGGTAAATGGAATATGATTGGGTCATATAATCATATAAGTCACGTGGTCAGAGTCAGGTACGACATAGACAGGACGTCACAGGTCAGGAAAGGTGAATGAAAGGTGTGTGTAAACAAAAGTAAAATCTTATGAGTAGACAGTCAGCGTAGTTCAAATGTTGCGCGCAATGACGGGCTGGTCATGTCACCCTGGATTGTGTATAACGCTGAATGCAGCCTGATGTCAAATAGCCCGCGCTCGGAAGAGCATGCGAGCTACTTCCTCTTGCTTTCTGTGGGCTTTATCGGGGAATATGTTTGTATATTCTCTGAGTTAAGTTTAAGTTGGGTTATCTAAATCTAAATCACAGAGCTGTCAATATACATGAAATATCAGCAGCTTATTATCATGTCCATCAGCACAGCCATGTACACGTCAGCTGCCTGCGTGTAATTAACCCTAATTAACCTTAGAGTATATTGAACATTGTGGATGAGGTGCTGGATACTGCGGGCTGACCATACAGGTATCGTAATACGATACAGGGCAGCCTGACACTCAGTATTATATAGACAATGAAATCTTAATGTAACGGGACTTGACCCTCGGACAGCGGGCTGACAGTTCGGCTGACGATCGGCTCTGTGATGCTGCCTGGTCGTTGCTGCACTATCATGTAATGCATATTTAGACAACAAATAAAGTATTGTTGACCCACTGATGGACTTCTGTGTTTGACGAGACAGATGTTCCACAAACCCTAAAAAGCCCGGGATGGTAGTTTGTGATGAGAACAACATGGGAACTGTTGATGATAATCGCTATGTGTACTAGTTCTATTCGAGAAATAGTCCTTTCAGTCAACACTATCCTGTGAAGATTGAAGTGAATGGGAAAACCTTTAACTGTTCCGAGCAGTACTAATGTATTGCAAATCCTTGACATTTGGAGATACAGTTATTGCTGAGCGTATTTTTCATTCACCGTCTCCATCTGAACAGAAACAACTAGGTAAACGTGTGAAGAATTTTAATCCAACCGTGTGGCATATGATCAGTCCACAAGTGGTGCAAAAAGCAAATTATGTCAAATTCACTCAATATGAAGAACCTAAGTCTCTGCTGCTGAATACATACCCGAAGGTGTTAGTAATTGTGGGGTGTTGGACTCTCTCTCGGATTCTAGGATTAGGAATGAATTAAATTGGCGTGAAAACAATCTGTTGGGAAAGATCTAAATGGAAGTGAGGCAACGCATTTCCATTGAGTATCAGTGTATTTTACCTGGAAATAGTTGTGGTAGTCATCACTTTGACATCTTCTCAATGCATATATAATCCGAAATAATATGTCAATAGCTGTGTATGCATGTTTACTGTGTAGTCAATATAGTATGGTCACCTCCATTGGTTTCTATAGGGCTGTTGCACATGCGCATGACTTCAGTTGAGACGTCGGATGGAGAGCTACTCCACAGTTCAGTACAAGATGTCTTACCTCCGTGACACATGCCTCGGCCTGCTACCCGTGGATGCCAACGGTGAAGATGACCAGGGTTTATTTACCTGTGTTTACTGTAAGGGTAGATTAAAATACACGTACCACCATTTTCTAACACATACCGACAAGTGTGCCGTGAAGTAGAAAGTGTCTTTCCAGATTCCCTCCTGTACGTGTCACGTGTAAGTTCAAGAATAAACCTCCATGCTAGGGTCGGCGATTGACAGTTTCCTGCCACCTGACGAATAAGACGTCCCCTTTCAACATGGAGAGAGCTGAAGAGGATATAGTTGAAACTAGAGACATTTTCGTCGATTTTAGCAAGACCAAGTCAAAGTCGAGAAAACAACGGCACCAAAGAGGACACCGCTGAAGAAGAGACATGTTGCCCCAAAGAAGAGGACGAAAACGATGACAACCAAGAAGGGACAAAAGACTGTACTGAAAACACAACCTGTGAAAATACAACATGTGTCGGAGGTGAAGGCTGTGGTGGAACGGACACTAGCTGCCTTGAAGCGTCAGCAGAGTCAAGGGTATAAAAGAAGGCTTCACACCCTCTAATCGCACACTGTATTGGATCACCATGGGGGTTGCCACCTTACCGGACTCTGAGAAACTATTTTCAAGGAGAGATGTCATGTTACGACACAGGAGAAATAAACAAAACCTAAAGACATATCAGATACAAGAAGAAGAAGAAGAAGAAGAAAAATATTTTATTAAAGTGTCACACACTTCATAAAAGTGTCCAGCCAACATTGACCTACGAGACACTACATGCATATAGGACATGTTGTACATAAATGTAATATATTAAAAGGTTGATACTTTAAAATATCACAAAAGATAAAAAGATACATGAAATACAGTACGACCAAGTGAAATAATATTAAGTGGCTCATTTGAGGACATTCCTATGGGAAATTATAGAAAAACAACGTTTGCGGCTATGGATTTTATAGCATATGGCATTCGTTGGATAATATGTAAATGACTTTATCAACTGAGGATAAGGCATTGAAAGACCTATCATTTATGTCTAGTTTATTAAAGAGCTTATATCTGATTTCATTATAAAAAATACATTCAACAAGAAAATGGACCTCATCGTCGACAGAGTTACTGTTACAAAGATTTTCTAATGGAGTTATGGGTCGTGTAAAACGTCCAACTTCCACTTCCAGTGGCAATGATCCGCTGAGGATACTTCGATGTGAGTGATTAAGGATAGCTTTTACATAATATTCAACAGAAAAGGTGTGCTTGAATAAGCGATAAGTACATAGTGTGTTGCCATTGGGAAGGTTACGATCATTCCAGCAAGCCAGCAAGCCAGTCATTGTGGTCCTTCAGTATAAGCCAGTCTTTAACACACAAATATTCATAATCTGTAACACCATAGATGTTACACCCCTCTCCGCCACCGCCTCAAGTTTAACCACCACTGCCGCAAGTTCAGCCACCACTGCCGCAAGTCCAGTCACTGCAGCAAGTCCACCTACAGTAACAAGCCCACCCGCTACCTCTGCCGCCACTGCAAGTCCACCCGCTGTTGCAAGCCCACCCGCTACCGCCACCGCTGCAAGTCAACTGGTCGCTGCCTCATTTACCAAGTATCTCTGATCTTCGAGAACGATTCAAATTCGTGATTCCCTCCAATGTGCACGTAGTTGGACCTAGTGGCCGTGGAAAATCTGTGTTTACCTTTTATCTTCTATGACATGGCTTGATCCAACTCCTACCGAACCGCATTGTTTGTTTTTTTTACTCAGTGGCAGCCATTATATCAGCAAATCAGCGAGCAGCTGCCTCATGTGATGTTTGTGAAAGGAATTCCCTACAATATATTGGATGAGAATTACTTTGATGCTCGTCAATGGAACGTGTTGGTGTTGGATGATTTCCTTGCCGAAACAAAGCATGACAAGCATATCTCTTGGCTGTTTACTCCCATCACAAAAATGTCCTAATCTTGTTTCTGATGTAGAACCTGTTTCTGAGAGGCAAAGAATCAAGAGACATTGCTTTGAACGCTCATTATATGACCCTATTTCATTCACCCGTTCATAAACAACAAATCAAAGTGTTTGCCCGTAGATTTTTCCCTGAAAATATGTATCACTTTATGGCATGGAGGAAAAGGCTGCCAAAAAACCCTTTGGACAACTCACCATTGATCTGAAAGCTAGCAAGAAAGACAAGGATCGACTACATGTCAACCTCATAAACGAAGACCACGGGAGAGCAACAGCACAGTCTGAACCCGACTTGCCGACGGACCAGTTGGCCACGAACGTCTCGCTCAATAGTCCTCTGACTTCCGAGACAACAACAACAGAACAGAGGTCGCCTCCCGATCCTCAACCCACTCAAGAATACACGGATTTGGACACGACTGACTGACTGACTGAGTTTGGTTTTACGCCGCTTTTAGCAATATTCCAGCAACATCACGGCTGGGGACACCAGAAATGGACTTCAAACATTGTACCCATGTGGGGATTCGAACCCGGGTCTTTGGCGTGACGAGCCAACGCTTTATCCACTAGGCTACCCAACCGCCCCGATTTGGACACGAGTAGTGAGGGATTCTTTACTATGGTCACAGCGTGTGCAGACTGCGGGCTGCTCATAGACAACATGCAAGACCTACAACGACATATCAAAACTTGGTGTCTGGAAAATGCCCTGAAATCAAAGAGAAAACGTGCCATGAAATCCAGAGAGCAATGAGCATATCATATGCCAGATATGAGAGCAAGGACGACACTGCCAATGATGATGTCAATGACTTACCCTCCCAGACAAGTGGTGGTCTTGCTGTTAAATATCCTCGTGGGAAGCCAACATTTACTGACATGGAAGCCGAAAGAGTGGCAAAACGTGGGTTTACAATGTATCTGAATGTGCGTGTACAATACGCCTCGTGAGGTAATGAAACTCAAGAGAAAAAGTACAAGCAGCAGGGACGAACAGAAGAATGGATCGAGACGAAAATGAAACAGTTGTGGTAAATGAACTGGCTGGTAATCTCAACTGCCTGGTGGAATGCACCACATACTTTAAACAGGCACATCTGTTTCAGGCCATTCTGGACAGTCTGGGAGATATGAATCCTTCCACGGAGCAATCCACCCTCAAACATAAAATCAAACTCTTTCTGAAGCCAAAAATGAAAGACCTTCTGACACGCATAGACATGCCCGATGTAGAAAGTGACACTGAATCTGTCACGGCTCCTGAGGATGGTGATGATGATGAGGGGGAGCAGAAAGATCAGGAATAAACATCCATGTTCAATATATCTCTGTATC